TATATATATATATCTGTGTGTGTGGTATGCATGCAGATTTTGTTTTATTGTTGCCCGGGCGTACGGCATAGAGTATGCAGGTGGCCGCATGCTCAGGGGAGGCAAGGTTGGCAACAAGATAAGATCATGTCCTCTATCTCCTGCCGGAGATCACGGTGATTTGCCCACAACTGTTGAACCAAGGTCTGTACAAACTTACGGCAAGCGCAGGTCTCCATTCTTGTAGTCTGGGGAACAGGCTCACTCAAGCGTGTCCTGCTCCGCAGGAAGCACACAGTCGCCTCAAAAGAATTGCATCCCTCAACACATCATTTATGAACGCCAAACTGACTCGGTGGCGAAGTACAAGCCTTGTGCCACCAGCTGGCCAGCCTTGTCCTTGTCTGAAACCGCTCCACGCATGACTTCCTTCGCCTTCGCTAAAAAACCGGGATGCAGCAGAACCGGCCCCCGCCGTCTCATGAGGTCTCTTTTCGCTGCGTTGCCCTCATTGTGCATCAGAACAGCGCATAGCAAGCCCATTTGCAAGAGGCCAACGTATGCCCAGCAGTGCATCTGCAGGAGGAAAGTATCGATTTCTTCGGCTGTCGAACTAGACCCGGACTCTTCCAAGTAGGCACGGACAAACTGCTGCTGCGAACCAACGTCGAGGACTGCGTCAGCACTGAAACCGCAGCGAAACCTCGGTACGGCTTCCAGTCGTGATTAAGCAATGATCCGAGCATCCCTAGTTCTATGCGCGGCCCGAGCTCGGCATGTCTCATCTTACGGCTTACCTGTAGCTACCCCATTCCCTTGCAAGCCAAGCTGCAGCATGAGAACAATGTAAGCCAGGTCGGCACCAGCAGGTCCCACTGCAGTCATGTCAAAGTCAATGAGCCGCAACCGGCCCTGGTGCCACATGATATTTCCCAGATGCGCATCGCCGTGAACGCACACCTCAGTTGTTATGGACACTTTGAAAGCGGCTACACTGCAACTTCCGTGCTGTCATTGCGGAAACCCGTCTCAGCACTCCGCATGTGCCACAACAAAAAACGGCGATCCCAAGCAAGCACACGAGACTTATAGGGTTTATGGTATACTGTTCCTTGCATTAAGCATTTCGTGACTAGGCAATTCGGAAAGCCATCTAGTCCAAGCCGAGCTGCACTGCGGGACGTTAAGCCCTTTGTTGGAAGTTCCGGACAAACGGGCAAAGACTTGACTTCGGTAGCGATGTAGTCCCAATTCACGCCTGAGGATTCTCAAGCCAAGCTCCCTCCCGAACTCCTCCGACCGTCTATGTCGACGCAAAACAGCTGAACCCTTTACCGGCATGTACCCATTCTCCGGGCCCTATCCCACCCCTCAATCCTTTAAATTAAAACCAAACCTGTCGAATCACGCGCCTAGCGCAGCGAACTCTAACTTGTTCCTTTCGGGCACCAGACCTCAGCTTGAGAGCACGAAAGCACTCACGTCGCTTTCTAGGTTTCGGTTTGGCCGTGTTTTGGATGTTTTGGGGCCTGCATGGGGGCTTACGGGGGTTGAGGTGGAGGCTATTAAGACAGGCGCATACAGGCGCTGTAACTGGTATAAGTACAAATCTCGAATAGTATTGGGCTACGGAATCTGCCTGCAGCCAAAGCACCAAGCAAACGCGGAAGAACCCACAAGCAGAACGCCCAATCGCTTTCATGTTTGGCGATTACTCCGTCTGCAAACAATTTCTCACAAACAGGCTGGAACCATGCAACGTCAGCTTTGTGCAGCCGTGCGTACAACGATCCAACCATTGCCAGGGTATCACTGGTCAGGTCCTCTGTTTTTAATGTGCCGCCGTCGAAGAATTCGTTCACCAACAAGATATGGCTTCCGTGGACCAGAGTGCCGATATGGCGCGGACCCAAACCAGACAAAGCTTCTTCCGCGAGAGTTTTGCTGTACAGATCTGTCCCGGACCAAGATGGGATGCTGACCACAACCTTGCGCCGCCCATCATCGGCGAAATAAACTTGATGCCACTCTGTTTCGTGGCTGGGTGTCAAATGCAACTCACCTGGCGAATCTGCAAAAAACGGAACGTTTTTGGCCAGTACATCTGCGATACTTGCGACATCCATGGTGATTCGGCTGGCGAGAAAGTTTTGGGGTGCTTGTAATGTTTGTGGTTTTGTACGGCAACATGAAGCATGTCATTACATCGTGCCCGGCATCGTACGTCGTTCATGGCATCGCTGGTATCTTCAACATTCTTGAACCCAAGCCTCAGGACAGCATATAACGTCCAGATCTCAGAAGCTTAGCTGCCGAATACCAACATCTGAAACTTTCACAAATCTAAAAGTCCAAGGCAATTGAAATCGGCGCCTCACGGAGCTGGCACAACCACCACAACCTCGGCGGACTTTAGAGTTGAAGGATGTTGAATTGAAGGTTTCGGATAGTTTCGGGGTTAGGGGCTTCACGGCTTAAGCCTGGAGTTTGAATTTTGCTCAAGGGCTTCGCATGCCACCGCGAGGCCAGGCCACGAAATCTAACGGTCGATGCCAACAGTTAAGATAGCCACAAACCCTGAAACCCTCAACCTACACCCTCAACCCTGAATCCATAGCAATGTGTCGACTTTGGCCGGAAATGAAATCCTGAGCCCGGGACTGCTTGGCTGCAGAGTCGCCTTCCTCGCAAGTTTCACTAGCCAACATAATTATCCGCGTACAATCCCTGACTATATTTATAGTCAAAATGCCTTTGTATGTATGTTAACTTTGCAATTCTATTTATATGTATCTATCGCATAATAATGTGTATTTTGTCCCCAGACCCTACTCTGAATCTTCGAACGCTTACATTGGCGCTTGTCAAACCGACCCTACATGTCTGCACCATGGAGGCCTGCGCATCTGCCATTGCCGACAAGCCAAATCGGTCGAAGCACTCATTTGTGGCTTCGTTCCATGCTGTCGCACACTTGCAGGTGACAGTGCGGCACCAAAAACCAACGGAATGACTTGGCTTTGGTGTTTGAGTTGTGCCTGAATCAGCTTGTTGATGTTCAGTTTTGAACCGTGAGTCCCACTGCTTGCCTAAACTGTTGGGCCCAAGCCTGCCACATGAAACATTCTTGACCGCTTCGTTCGATCATGTCGGCAAATAATCTTGGCGCGAATTTGTTGACAGCGTGACAATGTCCGAAGCATCCCGAAGCATCGCAATGATGTCGCACGAGCGGTGTGGAGAACACTTCCTTGAAAGCGACAAAGGGGTGGCAAAGCAGTGCCGCAGCCGCCGTGGCCGAACCAAGCAGCCAAGGACTGATGGGTTCTTTTTCGTCTCAACGCACCTTTTTGACTGCAAGTTAGTTCGCGACGAAGGTCCCTGTGCCGAAGCGCCCTACGAGTACACTGCAGCGCCGGCGCAGCTGGTGGTGGGCACAGCCTGCTGCCTACGTGCTAGGCGTGGTCCCAGCGCGCTTCGGCGAGGAGTTCGTGAAACTCAGGCTCTGGGCCTTCTCCGAGCTCGGCCGCGCGGGGGAGCTCAAGAGAGGCTGCAAAGGCGCACTGAGTTGCGACTGCCAAGAGCCCGGGCCAGTGCGCTACCCAGGCAGTGATAGCGGCAGGTATGGATGCGGCAGGAACGGCCGTCGCCTGATGTCGCGCGAGCAGGCGCAGGAGCTGCACGGTCTCATTGCCAAACCTGCTGCCAATCTCGACGCCGACAACGATGAGGCGGCATCGCCGGGCGCGGGCGAGTTCAGGGTAGGTGTTGAAGCTTGGGGCTTAAGGGTTGAGGTAACGCATCAGTAATGATCGAGTAATGGCTTGGATGAGGGGAGTTCTGGAGCCTTTGACGAATCTGATGAGGAGTACCATCTAAAGGATTGTATCCAGAAGACATACTGATAATGCGGACTCCAGGCTCACACCAAACACATTCAAACCCTCAGCTGCATCTGAAACACAACTGCAATTCACAACGAACCTTTCGCACTTCTCTGTGCCCTTCATAGGTGCTAGAGCCACGATATCACGTGACCTGAGTGTCATCCTGCGCAGGGGCCATGCCACTGCTTGATTTGTGCGTGTCATCCTGTTCGCAACTGCTCAACAACACTCCTCCTCAGCATACGCACGTGAAACGCGCGATGAGCTGGATCATGCCGAACAAGTCAAAAATGACAGCACAACGGGGCGATAGCACTAATCAGTGGACTTTCCACACGCCCGTCAAGAAGCATTTCTAATTCCAGGCCCCCAGGCCCAGCAACTCACATGCACTTTCCAGCTTTCGGTAGTTCAAGCTCTTCGTGAGAATGTCGCCCTTAATCACCTTAATCTCATTCGTTCCGGTGTGAACAACAGCGATTCCCTCATGAACTACTGTGTCCCGAATCCAGCTGGTCCTATTGGCAAAATCAGAAAAAGTATTCCTGGTGCTGTTTCTGGTTGTTTTTGGTTTGTTGGTGGTGTGAGGCAGTGAACCATCATGCTTGTAGTAGTTGCTCTCTGACCGTGACCCACGGTCGTTTCCGGACACGCCTCTCTCTGGTGCTAAGTGTGATCACGTCGCTGTTGTCGCCATGCAACGTGCTTCTGATTGCTTTGTCCAACATCGCTCCAACAATAGTTGCCCATGCCAGCCCTTTTGAAGTCAGCTCGCCATACCCTCCAGCTCGGCTTCTGTTGCACTGCATGCTGTCAGTGCTTGTCTCGTTGAATGATAAGCGATGATGTGAGCATCAGGGCCATCACCTATGGAAACAGTGACTCCAGTTCGTGACCGACTGCCTCCATTGGCATAGCTGGCATCGGTGTGGATGTGGATTTCGGGGTCAGTCTTCAACGGTTTGTACTGCATGCAGCGGTTCACTGTGTGTCTGAGAAAACGCCATGGCCCTTTGGTTAGCCTCAGCGTTTCAGTTGGGTTGTTCACCAACATGCACGCTGCAGATCCTAGCGTTGAAAGAATATCTCGGCGAGTGCGGAGCCCTGTGTATCGCCTTTCGACAGACCAAGGATCAGATTTGCGATCGCTTCATCCCGGTGCGCTTCCCAGTCCTCTGGGGACTGTCGCAGTCCGTATAATGCTCGACTCAAGACCCATAGGGTTCCCTCGGGAACCCCTAAAGATATCAGGATCCAGGATTGGTGCCGGTCGCACACGATGGCCTTTTCCCCGCGAGGATTGGCATACAGGAACGCGCAACTTATTATCAAAGATTAGTCCGCTCCATGCGGGATTGTTTGCAAAAGCTGAGAACATCAAGCGCACGCCTTCACATTGGATGTTGCAGGATGCATACTCTTCCTTTGTGTGCGTCGATGTGTCTTCGAAGTTTCCACACCCAACAATCCGAACGCGAGCCTTCCAAGAATTTAGCTCCGCATGTTGGTTCGCGGACTCCGCGCTCTTCTTGATGTTTTCCTGCATGACGACGGGTTTGCGTACATTTACAAGTTCTGAAGGTATGATCTCCGGGATCTCATCGGTGTCGCTCAAACCCAAGTCCTGACGCAATGTGTTCCATGAGCTCAGCCTCCGCACCTGCAGTTTTTCCATGTTGCTCAAATCCTCCTTGGCTGCATCCACCCACTTCTGGATCCCAGCCTCGGTGCCGGGGGTTACCATCCGGACCGTGAAGCCTTTCCTCCACGGTGAGAATGCCAGAGGGTGCATTTTGATCCCACACAACCTGGCCATAGCTGCCTACCCACACTCTTCGATCACTGGTTGGATCCACTGAAACCTTCCACCTGACAGTTGGTTGATTAAGCAACACAGGAAGTCGCGCTCGAACCATCTTCAACCTACCGTTGACCATGCAAAGAATCCACCATCCGTGCACACTGCTCACGTTGTGACCAATGAAGACACCACACCTAGCCTTTTCTTCGAAGTCACCCGCGTCATGCCGCTTGATAGCCACCCAATCTCCCATCGTCGGAACCCCCTTAGGCACATAGCTCGCATCCGCGAGTGCAGGGCAGCGTTCTGCACGGCATACGTCCAATATGTCGGACTCAAACCTGAGTGAACCAACTCCAGGATGGCTGCTTGCTTGAGCGCTTGCACTCCTCTTTCAACTCGACCTTCTGATTGAGGATTATATGGTGCTGACTGGGTGTGAAAGGGTGTGAAAGGTGGAGAATCGGGTCCCAAGCTCTTGGAATAATTG